TTGACTCGGGCTCTTATTCAGCCTAAACTTCTGTGTATGGAAACAGCTGTCATTTCATCAGTGTTATGGCATTAACCTCATCCAATGGAAGTGGAATTCCTGTTTGCTTTGCTTTGCTTCACACCAGAGAAAGGCACTGTTCTTCCCACGGCAGAAGACATCACACAACAGGTTAGAAACACCTACCCTGCAAACTTGAACTTAACCCCAGCAGCAATTTCTCACACCACTTATTAACTTACTGCCTGGCACAGTTTTTGGCTGCTGTCACTAGCTGTCTTCAGAACTGCCCCCAGGAAAAGTCCAGGTCTTGTTTATTCCCATACTCAACCCAAAAGCTCCCGTGGCATAGCCTGGCCCAAGCCTGGATCCCACACAGTCCTCTGTCACCAACCTGTCCTCCAGGTGTGCCCTTGGGGCATCTCTCAGGGCAGGAAACTCTGATTCCCAGGGTGATGCTGTGAAACCACTACTCTGTTATTCCACTTGGGGTACTAGAGATAGAGGAAAATGAACCCACCAAAATGTTACATTTATGTTTTAGATCCACAGGGGTTGAAGAGGACAGGGAACCAAGTGCTGCACAATTTGGTCATAGCCAGCCTGTGCCACTGCTCCTCTGCTACCCAGCCTGCAGCCAAGGGCAGGGAGATCACCTCCTCCTGTGGAGCTGCCAAAAAGCCTTCATTGCTGATAACAGCACTTCTTTTCACCTGGAGCAGGCCAGGAGGGAAGTGATCTGGGGGCTCCAGCAGAATGGAGTTCCACTGTGGGACTCTATACTGTATGACCTCCCCAGAAGGTCCAGACTGGCACCAGTTCATCTGCTCAAACCAAGACACATTGCTGAGCAGATGGATTTCTCCTTTGGAAGCCACCCTCTGAAGTGGTCACCCTTTGAAGAACCAGATTTTGTCCTCACACCCCAGTGGGAGGCAGAGGCAGTGTTGGTTTTTACATGGCATGAGGACAGCAGTAAACAAATTCACTTGCATTTGCTCATCTGGGTGTTTTGTGGCTCCACAGCCATCTGCCTCCCCACAGAATAAGCTCTGTATGAAATGATGATGCCAGTTTTTCTTATCCTGAGATTCAGCAGAACCACCTTCCTGACTGAGCAAATGTGCTGGCATCTTGCAGTGCAGGCTCACTCCTGGAGGAGAGATGTAAGCAGGAAGGAAGCTGGTTTGGATCCAGTTTAATTTCCCTAGGGTTATTCTATGTGTTAAGGAGAGCTAGCACACAAAAATCAGATGCATTTGTGAAGAGGTAATGCACAGTAGTCCTGCTGATAACGGGGTTGTGCTAGAGTGGAAGGAAGACTGCAGGAGACTGACCTGACACAGAAAAACTAACAGGAGAGTTCTGAAGAGGAAAACCTGCTTCTTACTGGTTCTCTCATATTTTTCTATTCCAGCCTTTCCCTTGGCCAAATTCTGCTCCAGATCACTGTGTAAAGTGCATGCAACAGAAGCACAAACTGGCCAGAACCCAAAGCAGAACAGCTCTCTCTTTCCTCTCAGCAGCCACACCAAACTAGGGCTCAGTTTTCTCAGAACACTGATAAATCAGAGAAAACTCCAGTCTGCTGTGAGAAAAAACTGCTTGTGGGGAAAGGTTTCCAAAGAAATCTTTCTTTGCCCATAGTGCCGGTGCAGGCTGTGCCTTTCCCTCTGGTTTCTCATTTCAGTCTGTTTCTTCTGGCTGCTTCCAGGGCTAATAAGTTCCTGACCTTCCTCCCTGTTGCCACCACCACCACTACAGAGGCTCCACCCTGAGCTGTTTTCCAGAGTCATGGAGCACTCTGTCTCCCAGAGGAGTCTCCCAGCCCACAGTTCCCCAGCAACTCTTCATTTGCTCAAGGACCCCAAGTTTGTGTCAATAGTTTGCATTTACACTCCTGTACCTGAGAGCAGAATCTGGCCCATGAAGACTTTGAAGATGTAATTTTGGAGGACAGCTCTCTCAGTTTCTTTTCCCCTCATCTTTCTTTTCCACTTCTGGACATTTTTCACACCAGACATTGCAGAGCTGCCTGAGATGGCCCTGTCAGTGCTGAGCAGCAGGGGATGGTCAGCAGTCTGTCCCCTTGCCCACCACCATGGTCACACAGGGGGACACCGAGGGGCTGTGCAGGAACAGCAGTGGCACACTGCAGGCACAGACATGATCTAATCCATCGTGGAATGCAGCCACCACCTATGGCTTCTTTCCTGTGCTTTCCACCAGTCTGGCTACCTGTGTGGGGAGGTGTTCACACGTCAGGAAGCTCTTTGCTGTCTTCCCTCTCAAAGAGTGCTGGTTTTCTCTGCTTAGTGGGGGAACAGAGAGGTTGGGCTCCCTGTGAAGCTCTCACAGCTGCTCCTGTGGAAGCTCAGAGGAGCTCCACAGAGACACAGTGCTCCAGAATGCTACCCACACACTCCTGTGTTGTGTTTTCTCCAGTCATCCTCAGTTTGTGTCTTTCCTCACTTCCCTCACAGTCAGTCAAAGTTATTGCAATGTGAAGAAGCACTTCTCAAAATACGGATGCTACCTCTGCCCTTCCTGACTTTGAAGTCTTATCTTTGGGACCAGTCAATTGCACACCTTTTAAAATGCTTTTTCAGCATCTTAAAAACAAAAATATTGCCAGAAAGTTTATCAGTACTTTCTCAGTACCTTGTGATGCAAAACCAGATTAAGACTCAAAGAAGGCTGTGATGCCCAAACTAGGACAAAGGCAGGTGTGAAGGCTCTAAACAAATGTCCTTAAAGGAGAGAGAAACTCCCTTTCTCCACAGCAGCCCAACTCTAACACCTCTGTAGGTCCAAGGCTCCTCTACTTCTGATAGGGAATTTCTGTAATTGGCCTATTTAATTTGCAGCCCCCCCCCGAACTACCCTAACTTGAAGAACTCAGTTTCTGGCTGCCTGGGCTCACTTGGCAACCTCAGTTTTCAGACTCACCCTGATGTGGCACTGGCTTCTCCTTGGACATCCAGTTCTCTATTGTGGATCCCTTCTGGCACAGAGAAACTTTGAACTTAGGCTGCTAAACTGAACAGGCATGAGAATTTTGGTTCTGACCTTGACTATGATAAATATTCATAACCTTCTACACTTATTTTTTAGCCACAGCTAATTTCACTGACTCTTACTTCTTTCTTACTCCACTGCCTCCAAACTTTCTCATCATTCACCAGCGGATTTCTTTTCTATTTGTTATATTTAAAGCACATTTCTTATTCCCCATGGTTGCTTTGAACAATGTTGATCCAGTTTTAGTTTTCTGAAGTCCTCTCTGCTTGTCTGTAAACACTGTTCTTGCTGCAAAGATCCTCCACAGCTTTCCTTTCCCAAAACAGTTGCAGGGAGGGAAGATTTGAAACAAACACTCACATTTCTAAGTCTCCTTTGTGATGAGACAAGACCCAGAATATTTTTTCCCTTTCCAACTGAAACTATGCTGTCTTACACAACATTTTTACCAGGTCTAATTTTCAATTATGCCTTCCATAGATACATACCCCAAATTGGAATAGCAACATTTTTGCAAAGTGGGATTTGAATGTTATTTTTGGGCAGTAATGCCTAAAACCTTCAGGGGTTCCCCAGCTTTTATTTAAATCTTAATAAATCCACAGAGGAGTATCGAGAAGGGCAAAGAAATGTCTTTTCAGGTCCAGAGCCTCTGGGAACACCACATCAAATCCAGTGTACAGTCCTCACCAGTGACCAGAGCTAATTTATCTATTGACAGCTCTGAGCCCTTTGAGAAATCACTTGGTGGCCTCTGTTTCATTCCCTCTGAATACATCTCCACTCCAGTGGAAATTGTTAATGATAGCTTCAGCAGAGAGGTCCTCATTCAGCCAAACCCCTAAGTCCAAATGTCATTTTCAGCCTGAAGATACTGCCATTGAAATCTGTGGCAAAATTACATTTCTGCCTGTTGTATTAAACTGTGACTGATCAAGCTGTTGCACCTCACCAGTCCTTGCAGGAATGTGCTCTAAATCCCAGGATCCTGAAACAGACCCCAGTGTCTGCATCAATTCTGGCATATTCTCCAAACAGCAGAGAGAGAGAGGAACAGCACAAGAACAGAATAAGAGAGGCCCACTGCTTCATTCTCACTTGGGCTCTAATTCCATTGTGTGGCTGCTCCTTCCCTGCTAAGAGTGAAGCAGTAGCACCTGAATTATTGCTTGATTGCAATGCCCTTTTCCCCAATGTCTTCTTTCCCACTTGCAACAAGAATGTGTATTGTGAAATGGCCAAGTGTACAACACCAAACTCTGAAGATCAATAAGCTGCAGTTGCTCATTAATTTTTAAGCCAAATCTTGCTTGTCTTAGGTGGCATTGTGAAGCTGTGAGGCTGAACCTGTGAATATGAGGAGCAGGATTTGATCTCATCACACAAAGGAAGCCATGAACAACTGCAACTGCTTTTAAAGCAGTCACAACCACAGCTCTTCTGCTTCTGGTCCATTCAAAGTGGTCCCTTCCTCATTTGCTCTCCTTCAAGTGCAGCACTTTGTTGTTTCTTTCCTTCTGGAAACTAAAGAGTGAAAGAAAATCTTGCTATTTTGGATAGCATTAATTAAAAAAAAAGGAAAATAAACACATTTTAATTGCATGGGATTTCTGAATAAGGTTTCAAAGTGGGGGTAAAAAAATTAGCTGTGTGCCTGGTACACAGAGAGCCCTTTCTCTTCCCCTTTGTGGCAGAGGAATCAATGGAATTCATATAAAAGGAGGAGGGGGGTGGGAAGAGAGATAGGAGATGCCTTGCTCGGTACCAGCAGGTCACAAGCCTCATGAGGCTCGAGCAGGGCTTGCAAGGAAGTTGCTGACTCTATGTCCATGTGTACCTTTTTGTTCCTTGCCTTGGATTTGCTGGTCAGTGGCATGCTGCTTTGCCTGGCTCTCCATAGAGCTTGTAGCCTACAGGAATTTGGACAGAGTGGTACAGACATCGCCGACAGAGACTCTGATCACTGACTATCCCTTTAAATGCAGTCTCATGACTTAGTCTTTGCTCCACTACCTATTAAAGAAGGAGACAAGACCTTCATAGGCAGCTTCCATTCAGGCACCCAGAAGGACACAGAAAGGCAAGACAATTTAACAGAGCTAACTGTGAGTAAATACAAAGCATTAGAGGTGCTCTCTGGAGCAAAGGGCATGGAGAAAGATTTGTAGGAAATCCTGAGGTGAAAGAAGGTGCAGTAATTTTTAAAATATACTTGCATACAATCTTCAAATGTGGAATTCTGTAAGGAAAGCTATTCTCTCATTTTAACATTATTCCTTTAAATATGAATCTAAGTGTCTTTTAGTAGACGTTGACCAGTGCTTGATTTCCAATAAAAATCTGATGTGGTGATTTTGTGCTGTAAGCACTGGAGCCTTTTGCAAATACCACCTTTTCTTTCACTGGCATAAATTTCACAGAAGGAATATCTGGGGGGGAAATTTGAAGCCAGCCTTTTGCAAACTTGGATCCAAAGCCCAGCCTGGAGGCTCCAATTAGATTTCTGCACTTCACAAGGGGTGGCCTTCCTTCTGGGAGTGCTGGGTGTGACCCCCTTTCTGCTGGGGACAGGAAGGAGCTGTGGGTGCTCAGCAGCATGGAGATTGCACTGAGGTGTCCCATCATGCGTGCATGTAGCTAATTTTTAACCAAGAGACTGTGTGTCTCCATGCTCTGTAATGGAATACCATCTTACATGCTACAGCATTCTGGAAAATTCAGTTCTCGTTAGTCAACAGAGTCATCAGCACGTCCATACATACCTATTTTCTTTTCTTTTTCATGTCAGTAGCTACTGAGTAGACCTGGACAAGTATTTTAACAGTTATCATTACTATTGCAAGTGACATCTCAACACTGATGGAAAGTTCCTCTGCCAGCTCAGCCTATTGCTTTTCTAAATATATCCATGTCATTAATTGCAGGTATTAGCTGGTGGAGACTGTTCCCAGCTCATCTTCATGTTGCCCATTTTATTCTCTGCATTCATCCTGTCTGCTTGCTGCACAGCCAAAGGAAACTGCATCTCCTATGATGAGTTGAGAGAGCTGAAGACTGAATTTGCCATCAGTCTCTACCGGCAGGTGTCTGAAGCAGAGAACAGGACCAATCTGGTAGTCTCTCCAGCAAGTGTGGCTGTTTCTTTGGAGCTGCTGCAGTTTGGAGCTCAAGGAAATACCTTTACAGAGCTGCAAGATGTCCTAGGATACAGCATTCATGGTAATGTACTTTAAAAAATCCTTATTGTCTTACTTTTTGTAATAAAGTTACAGCTTTACAAAGGTGACAGGAATTGCACACATCATACTAAACTTCTGCTTTCTCTCTCACTGCAAGATGGTTATCTCTGTCTTTGACAGCCAGGTATCAGATGGACAAAGGAAAACTCAAGGGAGTAGTTGACAAACAGGTTATTATTATTCCTCTTTTTTCTGAATCAGTACTTACTCTCTTATGACACAAAATACAGCTACATCTAGAAAAGCTACTTCCCTGAGCAGCAGAATTACTCCAGGCTTGCCAGAGGTCCATTGTGTCCACTCTGTCCTGGTCTCGTTTGTGTGCTCTGCAAAGAACTGCCAGGCAGAGAACAGTGGTTTTCTCTCCTATCCCACTAAAAAATTTTATGAAACCTGTAGAAGCTGAATTATATTTAAGACTTTTCTAATGCTATTACAACTGGCCAAAAAGATGAAAAGTTATCAGAAGGAGACTGGCAGACAGAGATAAATGTTGACAGATGGATGGTGCAATTGCATCTTTCCCTGAAAGCAGGCTAAAATATAAAACTCACTGGGAATTTGGAAGGGGTATGGGAAAGACAGATGTCTTTAAATCCAGCATTAAGTCAGCTGAATTTAAGGATGCTGTTTTCATTTTAGCTCTGGATTATCCTACCATCTCAAATCACATGTCAAAAACTATTTTACATTATGGGCAGAATGTTTATGAAAAGCAGATGACTGCCTCATCTTCAAAATTTGCAGCTTACATACAATACTTATGTATAGAGATAACACTGCTATTTCTCAGCATAAAATTTACCTTCAGGGTATGAAGACTAAAACGCACAGCAATTTCATTGTCCTGTGCTGTAACCAGCTCAGTCACCACCACCATTCTGTGCAGCATTGATATTCAACCCCAGCACAGCAGTAAGAGCTAACTCTGGCTGATCCATACAGATACAGCTGCATCTACTGACACAGGAACAGTGCATCTAAATTATGAGCAGCTGATATAACAAAGTCTTGCCTACAGGACTCCTATTTCTGTAAATTCAATTCCTAAACAACATAAATGCATACAAGGATTATACCTTGCTTGACACTTCTGGTCATTAGGGGCTCACTTATTATGAAAGGACCTTACAGAATAACATTTAGAAGTTAAATTCAAGCACAGATCTTCACAGAAAATTTAACAGAGGAGTGCAGGGGTTGTTAATGACCTGCTAGCTCTTTTATGCTCTCTTCTTCTCATGTGGCACATCATGGCAAGCAGACATTTTATCTCCATTTGAGCTGTCTGTGGCATAAACCACATGAGCTTTGGCTTTCAGCAATATTAATGCATGAATGTGAAAACAAAGTAGGATGGGATCTATTGTTATTGGTATACAGCGTATTTCCAATAACGGGGAAGGAAACCACTTCCTCAAATGGTCTAAATCAAACAAATAAATTAAATGCTTAGATGAAATTTCCTATAAGATGAATGAACCCAAGTTGTGTATGTAGGCATATATGAAAAAATTCTTTTCTTCCAGTAGATGTTTGCATTAATGTTTATGTTGGTCTGCCCTAACCAATTATGGTTAGAACCTTAGCAGGCTGAAAACATTGAAAACATCGATGCTTTATTCACTGCTCACAGAGAATCTGCTCCTAGATGCACTTGTAAACATCTTTCAATGTTTGGGAAATTTGTTCACCTTTATTCCAGTACTAACAAAACCAATGTATAATGGGATGTATCTCTAGGTAACACAGACAAAATGACATGCTTTAAAATGATTTCTCCTTGCTGTTTAATTAAAGCAATTTTGAGCTGTTGTCAAAGTAAGAATTTGGACTTTGGTTAGCTAAGTACTTTGGTGAAGTCATAAGTTTGGGATACCACTCCTCACATTCATCTCTGCTTCTAATTTACCATCTTTGACTTCTCACATCTTCCAGAGAGCTCACCAAGTGCTCCCATACCAATGCAAGACACACAAGAACAATACTTTACACTTCAGACCATGTTTTCTTTAAAAAAGTTTTCTTAAGAAAAAAGCCCACTGTTGTAGACTGTATAAATAAAGGAGTCACTTGTCACACATGAAGGAATTTATCAGCTCAGTTTAGCCAGGGCTCATCAGCAATACTGGGCAGTTTGGGACACAATCCTTCAAGAAATTAAACAACACCTAAGGGCCAAGGGTGGCAGAAGGGCCATCAGAGGTGGGCCTTTCCTCAGATAGGTGAATAACGTCAGGAGAAGGAGATAGCAGAGTTGTGGCATTGGAAGCTCAGCCAGTCATGGCCAGAGGCACTAGATCTCACTGGTGGGAACTCAGAGAGTGACCAAGAAAGAATAACTACCTTAAGAACTGTGTCTGCATAGAACTGTGAGCCTGGCATGAGACTGGCCACTTGACACATCTGCACTGGAGGGATTTCTACAGACACATGAAGGGAGCTTTCCAACCCCCAGTGCATCACTGCCCGTGGTAGCAGTGCTTGACAGGAATAATCCACAAAGTCAAGGGTGCTCCAGTTGTTATGGGGCTTTAACAGTCAGAGGACACCGGTGTCAGCACTGGAGCTGAAAGCTGCAGAGACCTGGGGCAATCCCTGCTGTCCTTAGCCTCAGCACAATTGCAGTTTCTCTCTCTTGCCTGGCAGACCAAAGCGTGCAGGATTTCATGCACACGGTGGATGAAGCAGTGACTGACTCCAGCCAAGGCACAGTGGTCCAGCTGGGATGTTCCCTCCTTGTGGATGCAGGCGTGCAGCTCTCGCCCGACTTCGCCAAGCGTGCCGCGCGCTGGGCCAACAGCAGCCTGCTCCAAACCAACCTCACCGACCCCAACACCACCCACACACAGGAGTGGATCACCACTGACCTTGCAGGTACCATAGGGACCCACAGGAATGGTTGCATATGAATGAAATGTAAAAAAAGAGTAATGGGAGGAATTGCATTTAACCAAGCATAAAGATTTTTGTCATGCTCTGTGTTGCCCAAACCAAGGCAGGAAACCTAATTCTTGTGCTAACACTCATCTGTAATGTGAAGAAAGAGCTGGAATAGGTCTGAATCTGTAAGCAGTGTCAAGCTGCTAACCACTTTTTCTTGTTCCCTTAATTTTTAAGAAGGAAATAATTTGCAGTGTTCTCAGTTTTAATTAGGAACTGCCAAATTCCCCTTGGACCATATTCATGGCACTGAATGCTTTCATGGTGCTATAGGGGACACACAGAGGTGTAAGCTCAGCAGCCAGACTCTGAGTTTAACAAGTCACAATGGGGAATAAAAGCACTGCCAGCTCAATCTCAACTCTGGAGAGAGCATGGACCAACAGGCAGCCCCAGTGAGGTGCAGGTGTAACTGGGGAGGGGAAGGTAGAGGGTGAGCAGTGCCTTGTGAGCTGTGCCTCTTGGCCTTAGGGAAGGACAGTGGTCTCAGCTTGCTTTATTTAGTCACATGGACCTGGCCTTTAGGCCTGGGCATGTAGGACTGCATGTGTCCCCCTGCCTTGTCTCTTTTCCTTGCAGATGGGGATATGCACGGGATGACACCAGAGAGCGCTGGGTCATCGCTCAGCCAGGTCACCCTGGTGAGCACCCTGTACTTCAGAAGCACGTGGCAAAAGAAGTTTTCCTTCATGGATTCCCAGATGTTGCCTTTTACCACGCCAGAGGGCTTGACCCTGAAAGTGCCTACCATGCACCACACAGCTGAAGTTAACTATGGTAACTGTCCTTAATCCATATTTGATCTACTGTGCAATATGGAACAGATTTATTTCATTTCCCCAGATACCACACTAAGATGAGTTGTTTTCCCAGCTTGGAGAGTCTCAGAAGAAGTCCCATCAAATGAAAAGACCACCGAGGTGACCAAATTAACTCCTCATAATTCCAGGCAATCATAAAACAGGTCCTGGGTTCAAAATGGTTTCTAAAATATCTACAGTCCCTGTCCCATCCCTCATAGACCAACACCTCCCACTACTCCATTACAAACTTGTCAGCTGTAGGAAACAGTCAAAAGGCACCAATACATTGTCCCAGGAGAAAGAAAGATGAGAGACTGAGGGATGACTGACTGATGACTGACTGATACACTGCAATATACAAAGTCCTTTACAATTGCATGGAGCTGGTTAAATAAAGCTGGCTAGAAAGGGGCTACAGTAGGAATCACATCTGACCCCATGACAGAGGGGCAATTAAGACTAAAATTATATCAAGCCCCTACCAATTTGATTTGCTGGGTAAGAAATTTCCTGGCCCCTCAGCCAAATCACTGCCCCTTGAATGCGTGAGCATCAGAGGGAGCAGAGCATAACCAGGAGCACCAGCACTGCAGACCTGCAGATGCGGTCACAGCCGGCCTCCAAGTCTTTAGGGAAAAACTGCAGATCTTGAGGGACAAATTCTAGAAAAAGAAAATAAATTCTTATGTCATGTATACCAAATCAGCAGATGATCTCAGCATGAGCTTAAAACAGTATAAATATAGGTCAGACTTTTATTTGTATAATATATGAATACAGTGTAGGCTACTTTCAAAGATTTGATGTATGTAGGTTGCTGACAGAAGGACTCATGCTGCAGGCATAATTTTCTGCCACCAGGAATTGTGCCAGTTAGCTACACAATCTCTTTCAAAATATAAAAAGCTCTTTTCTCTCCTACTCTAAATTTCAGAACTGCACTTGGGTAAAAACTGTCCAAATTCCAAATCTAATTTTTTTCAAGACAGATTTGTATCTCTTAACGTCCTGACTGATTTATCCTTTAAGTTAAATAGCTTCTCCTCAGCTTTGATATTTACTCCCAAATGCAATTGCAAGTCACCAAATTTTCTCTCAATTTCCTAATAGCTAAGATGAAGATCCAGGCTCTTCTAAACTATTCAAAAACCAAATGCTCCAAATTCTCTACTGGTTCTATTTTTGAACTTTTCCAATTTAAATTAATTTTTCTTGAAAATGACCAGAAATGTACACAAAACTGTCAATGAGGGCATACACATGCTTGATAAAATGCTTTCACAGTTTCTATGTCTTGATAAAAATACCTCTTGTAGTGTATTGCAGAACTGGCTCAGGGTGGTTACACAAGGTTGGCCCCACTAGGGCCTTTTTCCTTTTGGCATTTTTTCCCTAGGTAAATCAGGAGGAGGGAAATCTCCAGAGGTATATAAATTCTTTGTGTGTTTTTGACCCACCATTTTGTTTTCATCACTCCAGTTGTCATGGCAAACATGACAAACATCTCACTGTTTGTCTTTGATAAAAGTCTTGAGCATTGGCAATACTTTAGAAAACTACTAGTGACCCTTTTCAGCCTCTTGTACCTTTGCTCATTGTAGTTTCCCCTTCAAGAGGCTGCTTGCTGCCTTGCCTTTCTGGTTCTAAGTGCCACCATTTCTACCTGTAAATAGTGGCACAGTGAAACCATATTTAATGTTTTACTTAAAATTAGATGGCTGAATCTATGCTTTTTTATCAAATTAGTTAACAAGTCAAAAAAGTTTATAACTTTGTTTGCCAGTCTACATGATATTGCAATTTATTTCACTTTCTATTTCTCTCTGTGACCTGATTATTCTTTTCTCCAGAGTGTCCTAAAACTTCTCAAAGACAGACCTAAATTTTCTGAGATTGCCTTCTTTTTCTTACAAATGTACTCCTGCTCCCTAGTAATGGGAAAAAACTGAATCATCAGGCTATTAAAAATCTTTGCTGACTCATTTGCAATTCCACATCCAAGTTCTTCTCATATTCTGGGGTGGTCATTAAGGCCCCAGATTATTAAATGACAGAAGGCAGGATGCTGCTGTTGCTTGTACAAGTAGAGATCTCAGGTAAAGCCAATTACCAGGAGTTCCACAGCTGAGCTGCATTCTCTGACAATATATTTGCTCCAGAGTCCTTGCAAAGTTGATGTGAAATTATTTGTTGTGCACTTTTGACCGCTTGCCAAAACACAAGGTACTCCATCCTATCATCCTTAAGTAGGTAGCTAGAGCACTACATTTTTGCACAGAAAAGGATAGACAAAATATTTGGATTACCTTTCATCCAGGCTGAAATGTGTGAGCTCTTTGCAGCTGGAGAGATTGTTGAGCAAAGCCAAAATAGAAGGGATCATTTGAAATTTGCTGGTTGTCAGATTTGATTGGGCCAATTCAATCTTTGTCACTAAAAAATCCAGAAACTTCTAACAGATCAGTTTAAAATTAATGCAAAAGACTGGCTCAGTACAACTGTAGAGAGGACTGAGATGACTGTCCTTCATTATTAAATGATAGCAGCTGTGTCCCACAAGGATCTGAAACACAGAGTGAGAAAGATAAGCTGTGGCCTGTTATCAATTGCAGCATTTACGACATTGTTTATCCTTTTAACATTGCCACACAGAACAAACCAGCCTGGGGACAAGTAAGACTGCTCTAAGAAAATGTCAACATTACTGTTCACACACACTTCTTAAACACCACAACCATTTTACATATTCATTTTTGCAAGCAATTTGTTAACGACGTTTGAATTCTAATTTAGCATATGTGTAATCCTTATGGGATGCTCAAAATTACTTCAAGCAACAAACACTAAATGTTCTAACTCAATAATCTAAAGTCTTTGATTTTCTTTCTAATTAATAAATAAGGATTGTATAACCTTTGTGCAGAATGTGCTGACTTCAAAATACCAGCATGCCAATAAATTATACCACTCATGTCCAGTGCAGTGCAAATATAAATCTTCCGTGCCTGCCCATTAGAAAGCAGAACATATTTTCCCAGCAAATTATCCACATGCTGGGAGTTGGTTTTAACAGAGCAATTCTCTCTCCAGATTGTAAGGCAGGAGGGCTAAGAGCCTAAAATTTAATCTAGCAGAACAATCAACACTTAATGAATCCTATCTAATCCGTATCTGCAAAACTAACAAACACCGTACACAAAATATGTGAGACATCCTATAGCTATGTATTTATTGACAAATATTTAGGTATTATGACCATGAGCTATCCATACACAGTTATTTACAGCCACTGACTCAAGTAGTGTGAGCATCTACTCTTGAAGATACAACAGCTACAACTGGGTGAAGGAGGTGTACATTCAATATTTTGGATGGCCTGCAGTAAAGGCAGTAAGGCTTTCACTTGTGCCCTGTACTTAAGTTGTACTTAACTCCTGGCCCACTAACGATTGCTGAGTGTTCCTGAAATGCTACTTACTGGATTCTCAGATGAAAAAATAAGGAAGCAAAATTGTGACAGCCAAATCTGTTCTATTGTATAACAGAATCCATTAGGAATGTCTGGATTAATTGTTTTTTTGGAATATGGGATGAAAATGGTACTTTTAAATGGCTGTTACAAATTGCTGTAAAACGAATTGCAAGTTTGGAAGCTCTCCAGCTTTTCTCTCTCTTTTACTTTTGAGACTACTTATTATGACCTTCATCTGACTGTGATAAGTCTCTGTACCTAGATTTTAAAAAATTATAAACTTGGTACTTAAATAAAAATAGTCAATGCTTAAATAAGCATATATTAGCTCTTGTTTAATATAACTATTTTTTATTGAAATAAGATTAAAATTGATTTTTAAAAGTAGTAAAGATGAAAACATGAGCCAAAGTAGGTTTCAATTAATCAGCTGGGACACTCTGCATTTTCTTTTTGTAATTCCTATCTGTTGTAGTAAAATTTTAGTGAAAATACGATAAAATTGTAAGTTCATTCAAAGAACATGCATTGTGGGAAGAGTCATCATAGTTGCTGTCATTGCCTTGGTAGTTCTGGGGTTTTTGTCCCCAAACCGAGCAAGCAGGACAGCTGTTATATGGAACAGTAATAAAATACCCATGCTCTGTTGAAGTGTTTCTTCAGGTGCTGACACTGCTTGGCACTGGCACTGCTCTGCCAAGGTGTCTGTGTCTCTGGCACACTCAGCTCTGTTCAGGTGAGTTCACAGCAGCCTGAGCTGGCTTCAGGAGCCCAGGAGCTGGGGACCACTCCTTACATCCCACCACAGCTGCTCTGAACTGCCTGCTGATCCCAGCATGGGTTGTGGGTTCAGGGTTTTCTTCCCACTTGAATGATGAAATAAGATCTCTCTTTGCCCACCCACAGGCCAGTTCCAGACTGCAGCTCTGGAGGCTTTCAGCGTGGTCGAGTTACCCTACCTGGGAGAGAAACTCAGTATGTTCCTTGTGCTTCCCAGCCACAAAAGAACACCTCTGTCCCAGATTGAGTCTCACCTTTCTGCCAAAACCATAACCCTCTGGGCCAACAGCTTGAAGAGAACAAAGATGGACATTTTTCTGCCTAGGTAAGCAATGTTAGCACAATGGATTCACTACTTTAGCTGTCAGAATTCCATGTGACCAGCGCTGACACAAGCAGAGTGTGAGCAAAATCAAATTACATGCTTTTGGTTTCATTATTCATCACATGATCAGAGATGCTCTAACCCTTTCTTAAACCACAAAAGCTGAGCCAGGAATGACAAGACTTTCTGGTTACACTCTGTACTGTTTTAAAAAAACCCACAGTATTTCAATTGATGCTACAGCTTTTACTTACAATTTGTTTGGGGTATAAATCCTTTAAGGAGCTAAACCAGAGAAATGTTGCTAGACCTTTCCCACACTCACTTTTCTCTTTGTTTAAGGAAGAACAAACATATAACCTCCTAAAGACGCACTATTTTGTTTTTCTTAAACTTGCCAGAGTACTAAAAAAGCATGGGACAAAGAGCTTGGCCCCCCTCCAGCAGCCATAACCATCTTTCCATGCACAAAGCAGGTTTCACTCATCCATTTTCCACTTTAGTCAGCTGTTGTTTTAGCAAACACCTATGCTGGAGGTATTTTCTATCATCTACTCCAGTGAAACTGCATAGCAGGAGGAATTAGGCACAGAAGGCTTTATGTGGCTGTATCCATTGTATGGACTAGTATGGAAGGGCTTCATTATACACGTCCCCTGCAACATATTCATCACATTAACAGAGCACTGAAAACCAGTGTGGACATTAATATTTGTTTTCTTCAAGCTAATTTTTGGGAAATATTTCCAAGGGCCATTTGCTATAGCCAAAAATAACATTAGAAAGAGAATACTTCATGCAAATGCAGAATTCACATGTCAAGAAGACTTAGTAGCAATCTGATTGCAACAGAGGGATTCCTTCTGTTAATGGCTTCAGGTGAAAGTGAGCTACTTTTCTGCAAATACACCATCAGACAATGCACCAGGCTCATACAGGAAGAGATGGATGAAATGCAAAGGCTTGAAATAAATTGTATCTGTTAATGGCGTTTAATTCTACAAAACTCTACAAATCCTGCATTTAAATAAATTCTATCATATTCATTTCAGGTTCAGTATTCAAAGCCTTTTTGACCTAAAGACAGTTCTTTCTGCCTTGGGAATTAGAGATGCATTTGATCTCATCACTGCTAATTTTAAAGGCATTTCAGGTAAGAGGCTTGACTGAATACAAAATGATCCTTGACCCAATAGTTGCAGATTCTTACATTTGAATGATTTGTTAGACCTGCCTGACTCTTCTGAATTGATTGTACTTCTTTAGCTGTGAAACTCTAAAGCACAATTCACACTCAACTGCAACTGTATTTTGAGCTGTTTTCTAGGAAAGAGGAACCTGAAAAGGACAGGTTTGGTTTTGGTCTTGAACTTACTTTTTTCTTGTCTATAAGATTAAAACTGTCACGACAGTGTAGGCCTGGGAAAACGGTTATTTATTCAGAAATTTAGGATGCTTTAGTAAAACTTACATTCCTGTTTGTGTTTTCAAATAGTTATTTAACAGTGAGAGGGATGCTGGACCAACAAGTGTATATTCCAACTCCTGACACTGCAAACAATACTGGTTTATGCCCAGGCTATATTATCTTGCTAATCCAGTAATCAGTATACAAAGTTATACTTTCCCTTTGCTAAAATACTGTTGTTATGGTTAAATTCCTCTGCTCCTTGGAAAATTTGTCCCCATTTAATATTGAATGAAAAATAAAGAATCCACATTATTTATTCTTTTTGACTCCTTCCAGCAACAATGCTCACAGTAAAGACTTGGGAGTGGTAGCTGCCCAGCAAGCAGCTCACATTCTTGTGCATGTGAGTGAATAAATGAAATTGCTCCAATTTAGACAAACCTGCTTTTACAGAAAAGTTGCTTTCTGGGGATGAACCTCAGAAGGCACATTACTCATGGAGTTTTTATGCTGCTCTTAAAATTGAACATAGCAATGTTCCATTGCAATATAGATCTCAGACTGCACAGCGATGAACATTAAAATAATTTGTTACTGCTCACTGCTGTTTTGCTTATTGCAAACAAATGTTAATATACTGATAAATTACACAAGGATGTATTTTATAAAGGTAATATCTATTTAAATAAGATAAACACTTTGGGGAAATTAATTCCATAAACAATATAATTTAGCAGCTTCCCTTTGGCTTTTGGCATACAGGATAAGGCTTGTAGAAGTATTTGATCCTGCCCTGGCAGGGTTATGGAACAAAGGATATGTTGAGACCCTATTTAGTTCTAGCCTTACAGCACCATGTCATAGCAGTAGGGCTCTATGTGGTCTAAGAGTTATGTAAGGCAGAGTTCACAAGGAAAATGTATCTTTTACTTAACCAATAGTTAAGTAAAAGATGGGGGGGAAAAATAGGTAAATTTTCATAGGTAAGTTTTCATTTCCTCTTGTGTATGAAGCAGAAGGATAAGCTTCGAAATATTTACTCTCAGGTCACATTTAGCAAACAAATGTGTTACTTCATTTCAGACCTGAAATAGCTTTTTTAGACTTGAAAGCTTGTTTTTTTCCCCCTCAACAATGTGTAAGATTTATCTACTTTTTAAAATTCTTCCTCTCTTTAGTTTTGTCCTGCTTGATTCCCTCCCAGTTTTTCTGACGAGACAAAATTAATACAGAAATAGATAAAATTCTCTTTTAGCATTTCTTTGATTTTACCTACATGTTGGACTTGATCCTTGAATTCAGACAAGAAAAAAAACTTCTCTACCTTTCCTGCTTTCTGCCTTGTACAGGCAGCTGGAGAAAAAGAGACTTGTAACACTCTCTTCAGTGTCTTTCAGAAATTAATTCTTTTCCAAGATTCGTTTTCTGTCACTTCCATTATTTCTTCCTGAAGAACATTTTTTCTATATTTTCCTTTCCAAGGGTTCTTCAGTTCTTTCATTGCCCTCACTCTGTTAAAGTTTCTATTTTCACTCTGTAACCTTGCCTTCCGCCACAAAGCTGAGACCTCTCAAACTAGTAACTCCCATTCAGCATTCAATCCATTCTAACCATATAGTGGGAGAACAGTCAAAGGCTGAAATATATAACAGTTATGTGATCCTTAGATTCTGCACAAAAAAAAGGTAGAAGCATTCTGATTATTTTTTAAAAATATGTTTGTGATGAAATGGAGAAAATAACTTATTAATTTTGGGGGTTTTGCAGAGCAAGATAGTCTTTATATTTCAGAAGCTATCCACAAAGCAGAGATTGAAGTAACAGAAGATGGTACAAAGGCATCAGGAGCTACAGGTAAATCAAATACTCAGACAAACTTCTCACTTCTGGAGCTTACCACTATAAAACCAACTACTAGTCTTTTATTTAAAACAAAACAGACAAGCATGGTAGAATTCACATGTATGCCTAACAAACTTTTGTATTTAACACATTTCTATTTTATCTTTGCAATTGCTCATAAGAAACTAATTTTTGATGTCCGACTAAGGTGTAATGGCTGAAATGAAAAAAACAACATTGCCAGTTCAGGGAAAATTCAGTTGGAGAAAATATACCACTTATTTTTCTGCTGGTTAAATATCTATTTGTTCAGATCATAAGAACAAAAAATGAAAAAAGGTTAGTAATATTTTGTCTATAGCCCCTGAACTATTATAGGATTTGAGGATGATTTCTTTGATAGCATTAATGGTAATGATGGACAAGTCTTATGCAGACAAGCTTGATTCTTACATACTTTGAAGTGTGACCTTCATGTGCAGTAGCTCCTGCTAACAGAGACCACTTCCACATGAGCAGATGGGTCTGGGTGAGTGGGAGACTCAGAGCAAAATCTCAGCCACAGACTACCCAGTCAGTACATGACTCATTCACCATTAACCACATCTCACCTTCCTGCTTCCCTGGGCTGTACCCAGGATAAATGTGCTCCACATCACAAGTGCTGGTGGGTCCTTGGCTAGGGACCAGGGCACTCTATCACTTCTCCTCCTTGCTCCCAGGGAGGAATTCAAGAGGCATGTAGAGAGCATGGCAGTGCATCTCACTGTGGTGCCCAAACTGTTGCACATCCCCTCGCTCCAACATCCCACAGCTGCAATGCCAAAAAGGAACCTGGGCACACCTGAATTGATGTATTCAGTATTCCTCTAGAAACAACCCTGAATAAGACACACGTGTACATACCGGGGTACGCAGAGCACATCTGGCATAACTAAGTTAAAACTGTACAGCTCTGCAGAAAGGTTAAGTTTTGTAACAGTTTTAACCTCTATCAGAGCAGTAATATTTTTAATAACTTTGTGGTAAGGCCCATACAAAAGAAACACTTTAAGGTGACTTCAGTTACACTTGAAAAACTAAGAGAAAAATACCTTTATCCCCTTGAAACCAATGCAAAAACATCCCTTAACTCCAGTCAGACCAAGCTGACAAGCAGATTTTTAAAATTGCAATTACAGTTATTGTTTACTTTAAAAGCTTTGGATCTAGTCACATGATGACTTGAAGCTAGGCACTTTTTTTTTTCAAGCACCAAAATAGTGCCTTCTTAAACTAGTTTTCTTGTGTCTTACTATTACTTGAATTTTCAAACTAATTCAATAGTTTTAACTGTTCAAAAATAATCCAGATCTGGTGGGTTTAGTGGTGGGTTTTTTTACAATATATTCTTAATACTATATAGCTAAAAGGAAGAATTTATTTAAACAAGATGTATTTTAATAATAGCTGAGCCATCATAATTCTTAAAAACTCTTTATTTAATTGAGTAATTAACCCACAACAGAGAGGAAAGACAGTCATGAACTGAGTTGAAGATACTTTGCTGAGAGTTCTGACAAGAGAAATTCCAGGATGATGTAGGTATTTCTCTGCTGCTTGTGTCCCAACTGGATAAGGAACTATATTTGCCCCTTGCTTATCTTTTTCACCAGAACAGCATAGCTAGGAACTGGCTAACAGGTGAGACAATAGGTAGGACTTCAGCAGAGTTAGGAATGTGATGACAACACCAATTACCTTTGAGATACAATGCCAGGCAGACATCCTTCAGCACTGAAATACGCATGAATCACCTGCATGTAGTCTCACAACTCCTGACATGTTAATTTTGCCAGACTGATCTCACTTGGATAAAATTGTTGTTTTAGTCTTAAAGTAAAGAAGCAATTCAAAAGTCAAGGTAACAGCCAGAGCTTGAGGGCACTGTATGGAAGATGGAAAGAAAAGAAGATGCATTTTACTGATGTTTTCTTTGTTGCATTACAGCAATGGTCTTACTGAAAAGATCTCGAACACCTATTTTCAAAGCAGACCGACCTTTCACATTTTTCCTGAGACAAGCTAATACAGGTATGCATGCTCTGCCTTCCAGGAGCAGAATCCCACACAGGTAGCACTGAAATCAATACAAATAGCATGCCATTCTTCAGTCCAGGAAACTTCAAACAACCACAGAAACAGTGGGGACTGGGGTTTTAAAGCACAGATTTTCATTTCCTAAAAAAGAATGTATAATAGTCATAGAAGTCTAAGAAGCCAGATTAGCCTCTTCTTTGGACATGCAGTATGTGCTCAAAAAATTTCTATCAAAATTATAGGCACTAGAGAGATCTTACAGATGCTGAACATTCCAGCATCAGAAACTGATCTCTACAGAGCAATTCAATTTACAAACGGGCTGGACCAGCTGGATTAACATCTGAAGTAGTTAAAATAGAACCCTTTCCCTATAAAGGAAACTTATACTGATAGCAAACAGACTTCTGCCAAAAATGTCTTTGCAACTGTTAACTCTTTTCTTGCAAATGACCTCCCCTAGCCACCAAACAAAAACCACACAAAAAATCCAAACAGAACTGCAGAGCACGTCTTAGAGTGAAGCATCACAGTGCTCCTTTAGCTTCAGTTGTGGATTATAAGTCTCATTTCAGACATCCAATCACATTAAGTTACTCCAGAATGTCTGCCAAAATAAAACACCCTTTAGCTTGTTGGCAATAATAAAGAACTGCATTATTCACCATTTAGCAGTTATTTGCTACTCTGAAGCATCAGGCCAATATCCAACAACTCTTATCATTCCTAACAATGCAGTAATTTTGCACCTGAAGTATTTTCCTACAAATCGTTCAAACCACCACATTTCTCTCATAACTGGGGCCACAGCCATTTAGACCTTCAAGGAACATACAGATATTTATAGGGTTCAGTAAAACACTGGGGCCTTGCACAAAGACAGAAATAATTCCCCTTATCTGCTTCCAAGCAACAGACACTGTTCTCTTAGTCAGTGAATACCTGTGTATGTAACATTTTGTTTTAAAAACCCCTATCATGAATTTTGACCATAGTGCAAGCATACAAAGAGAAAATTACTGCCTTGGTTGGAATTTTGTTTTAAATATGCTTTGGCAATCATTACCAGTCAATGAATAAAAGTATTTTACTTGGCAAATACAGAATTTTAAAATGAAAAGGCATTAATAAGCTCACCTGTGAAACATGAGCCACAGACTCTTCAGGATTAAGAACAAACTTACTTTGGTGAATAAAATTGTCAGTTTACAATATATATAAATTATATAAAGAGGAAGGAAATCAGACTGTAAAACAGGATTTTTATGTGAAGCATAAACTACATACCTTCCAATCAACTCAAAATCAAAAATAATTTCTGTAATTCAAGCTTTTTAATGCAAAAAGTGAAAACATTCAGACATTTCATTTGCTCAGACTTAGTGATTCAAGTTTTTGAGGTATGGAAAACTTGAACAGGTAAACAAGATCTATTTTTCATCCACCTGTCTAAAAGTGCTTAAAACTTCTATGCCCATAAAGTTCTTAATGAATCTTTATGTAGACCAAAAGTATTCATTGCATCAATTTTCTAGTAACAGCAGAAATATGTTTTCCAATACTTAAAATAGCATAGTTCTGCTCAAAATAATTGAAAAATTTTGGAGTTTTTTAATCTGAATTTCAGGTTTAAGCATATTCTCTTTGAAGGACAAGCAAGGTAACATTACAAATAACCAAAAAAATCCAGTCAACCTGAGGCAGTCATTTCATTCTCTTCTGTAACAAAAACACGAACACAAAGAACTTAGGTTCTGTTTTGTTCAGTTTAGGTTTCAGATTTTAGCAGGTTCCTGGTTTGGGTTACCAATTATTTGGAAAGGTGATTTTTATACAGAAATGTTTAGATTATTTTAAGACAAACATACAATTGCAGTCAGTTTTTCAATACAGTGAACAATTCTATGATCTGCTAGCTCCATGCCTAACTTATGTATTTAAACTGTACTGCACCTAGAAAATGCAGCCCCAAACTGAAATAATGTTAAAACTGTTTTCATTTACAGGTTCAGTACTTTTTATAGGAAGAGTTACAAATCCTTCATCATAAGCACTAAATGCATATACTGACTTCTGCTCCTCCTGTGATGAACTTTCCTCCAATGAAATTAAAGGCTACATTGTATGTATTTATTAAAACACAGTTTTAAGCATATCACTGTTCCAAGAATCACCACTACCTTATTGCATTGTAGACACTGTTGAAACTTAGAGCTGTCTAGGAATCATCAGTACCACAACTACAGCAAAGACAGTGTCCAAATAAACATTTGCAAAAAAATGGAACAGGTTTAGCCTCCTAAATGTTTAACAATGAGCCAACAGCTTCTCTTTACTTTATCATGGCTAAAGTCAGCTTGACTGTAGCTGATTATGTACGTGATTTGAGTGAAAACAACCCACAAGAAAGCTTTGTCATGTTATTTTTCAAGCACAATTTCATTTCCTTGTCCTGAAGTCCAAATTATATAATTTAAGAATAAAACTGAAATTCAGCCTGACCTCAGACAGTTATAACCCAGCTGATAGAGAAGGTAACAAGCAAGCAGCGAAATGCTGTGAAAAGAAATTGAAAGACATTTTCAAAACTGACACAGAATCATAGAATCATTAAGGTTGGAAAACACCTCTTAGATCATAGTCTGTTCATTAACTCAGCACTGCCACGTCCCCCACTAAACCAAGTCCCTAAACACCACACCCACACACTTTTTGAACGCTTCCAGGATGGTGATTCTACCATGTGCCAGGGGCAGCCTGCTCTTGACAAAGCAAGTAAGAAGCAGAAATACCCACTCAGTGACCAAACAAATAGTGCTAAAAGAGGCAGCAGCACTACCTCTACTGTCTTTGAAGCATACACAACATAGAACAGACATGCCAGAAAAACACTGAAGGTGACTCCTGGCATCATGAAAAATGGGGGCTGGTTTTCAGCATCCTGACAAAAGTTGGGATATGGCAAGTGTTCAGCAACTCATGGCACAAGCATCAGAAACCCAGGCCCATAAAGATTTTGGGTGGAGATAGCAAACCACTACTCCCAAGAAAATCACCGGAGGACTGTTTTAATCAGCTCCCATTGAATCAAACAAAGCCTTGCAGATAACCCAGAGCATCCAGGACAGCTGAAAGATGTGGCCAGTAAAGCAATCAATGGTATTTTGTATCCAGGCAGCAGCACTCTGTGGCTGTTCCCACACTTGTAAACCCGTAAAATCTTCTGACACAGAAAACCTCTGTGCAGCCTTCCTCAAAGGTTACTTTCCCTCTGCTTTACTGCACTGTATCCCTGAATAAAACCACAGGGTTTGTCATGGCTACAGATGTGCTTATAAAACATCACTTTGTTATGCTGGCCACCAAAAGTGCAAAGTACACAAGATATACTGCAGCTGCAATTCAGCATTATCTCTCTTTCACTCATTCTGATTAAGAGCAGAACATCCAGTGATACAAACCCACTGTTCAGTCTTTAACACTGATAACAGAACACAAGCTCTGGAAAGGGAAGGCAAAACAAATAATTTCGATAAAAACTATACTCAAACCTACACAAAGATTAAAATAGAGATTTTATTGATGGAATAACAAAAGTGCTTTTCTTAAATATTTTTCAAAATACATTTATACAACTTACAATAATATATCCAAAATAACTGTATATACAAAATATTACCTTGTTTAATGTATGTGCTTTTTACTTTTTGAAAATTACAAAGCAACTTTTTGGCAAAGTTCAACCTTAAGAGGTGATAGTTTTGAAGGTTAGATTAAGAAAAATAGAACCCGAGGGCAAGTGACACTTATGTCCATGACAAGCAAAAAGTTCTCAATTTAGTTAAATAAAAATGTTTTTGTGGTATTTTTCACATTACAAAAATAACAGAAGTGAAGGAAAAAAAAAAGGATGATTGATACTTCTCATCATTTTATTGAGCAGCTTCTCATTCTTTCAGGTACAGGAACTTGAGATAAGAGTGCATGTCAAAAATGAATGCAAGTAAGAACAGCAGTGCCCTGCTGTGGTTCTCCCATGTGCAGTTTCTTAGCTGCTCTTGATATGGTTGACCTGATTGGATCTGCGATGGATTTCTTCCAGAAAACTCTCAAGCTGTTCTATCAGCATTCGTTTTTTAAACCTGGATTTAAAAGAAAGCATTACAATGGATACACAGAGTAATACATGAAACATCACTGACAAAACTTTAACTGAACTCTGGAAATTTCAGTTATTACTTCAGGAGCAGGGCATGATGAGGTATACACATACCTTATTTGTATACATACACCGTCTCCTAACATTCTCCTAAACCACTAACTTGCTTTTCCATTTGCTGAATACAAAACTACATTTACAAGAGTTTATTGTAGCTGAACATCACTCAGCTACCTCAGAAATCCAGGAAAAAGACAGTTAAAGAGTTTGTTGCTTCCAGAAGTGAAGTTCTGAAGTACAGAAATAAAATATACATCAAAAGAACTATAATCCTAAAGTTGGCAAACAGCTTTTAGGGATTATTTGCATGCCTTCATGATGCATTCACCCAAGTTAACAAAGCTGGTACTGGTGGAGGAACAGCCATTACACAGTGCAAAGCAGATTTCCTGACAAACAACACAAGTTAAAACTTTGAGAAAGAAATTAAAGGAAAATACAGGCATCCAAACTCCATACCTCTGGAGTCTCTGCAGCTCTATTCCAATCAGTTGTATAAATTTGATCAGTAGGCCATTCTGTCACCTCTGTTTACACCCCTATCTCAGGAAGTACAACTCCTAGCTGTTTCCAGCCAAACCCTCCCCCTTGCAACATTTCTGCACTTCTGAGAAGCCACTTCTGACCAATGCTTTGGTAGCCATATGTGTGTTCAAAGACAAGCAGCAATGAAAATATTTTGAACTATATCCCAAGTTCAGTCCTGTGACTTCACTAAACCCCAGCAGAAGCCTCTAGTTCCAGTCAGGCATCCTGGTCCATGCCCTTGGCTCACAGAGACATGGTACCTCTCCTGATTTCCAGATCACAAGCCTCTCA